AACCCCTTTCTCTTGACTTAGGCAGCTCCGTGGATGCCGTCCTAGGGCTGAATTGGCTGGATCAGCCCAACCCCTCTGATGTCCGACTCGCGATATAGGACGATTTGGCTGTCTCTTCGTTGCTGTGGGATGCTGGCATATGTCATCGTTGCATCTTGGACGTGAACTGTCATTGCTTCAAACTGTTATCGTATTATTTATGAGGCGGTTTGGGGGGGTTTGTTTGTATGATATTAGGTGGAAGATGAGCGCAAGATATGGTTTACGGGGGTGATGGTGGTGGTTACAATACTGTATATATATATATTTGCATCCATCATCTTGGAGTTTTGGGCTGTTTGGATGGGCTTGGGTTTTCGCTGTCGATTAGGAGTCGCGCATTTCAAGGGAATTACATCATTCAATTGCTGTACGGGTGCATGGATGTGGTTATAGTCGTTTGTAGAAAGGATTTGCACTCAAAGGAATTATTATGGCAGAGGTGTAGACTGACAGTTGGGCGTGACTATAGTTGGGATATCTTGAATATTCTTATAAATCTCTTGATCATCATAAGACTCATATTTTGGCAACGATGATATCCGCTTCCACTTCTGAATATTTTCTTTTGGAATATATATATACAGACGCTTAATAATGGATACCTGCCTGCCTGGATGATAAATCAAACCCGCAACTCTTTATTATTTGAGAACATCAATAATATCGAGCTGAGAGAAGGATAAAATACAACATGTAAATTAAGCTAACAATATTGCATTTTTATCAATGAAGAGATATTTTTTTTCCTTTTTTACTTTTTTTTTTTTTTTTTTACTTTTGCTTTGGGAGTGTGACTGTTGAAATGGGACACAAGCCCATACTGCCACTGCCACGTTCCCGTATCTGAGGCAAGCCGAGGGGAGAAAAGCGAGAGATGTAAAAGAAACAAGGCTGTATCAGCCGAATTAACACTTCTCTGGATTGATATCGATTCAACTCGATGGTCGTCTGGCGGGTGCACGGGAACCGGTAGTACATATGAATGCATCGTATTTGCGACAGCCGAAAGCACGCCACTGCGTATTGTGTAGATGCCATTCAGAGCCCAAGGGAATAACATCCAGTCAAAAAACAATCAAAGTTAAAAGTAGAAACAGGCATACTAAGTGAAAGCCAAATCACGCAGAACAAAAGAGAAAAAAGATAAAACAAGCAGAGAAAAGAAACCGATAAAGAAATATTGTTGTTTATATCCCAAGCAACAGTAGAAAACGCCCGTACATAAAAATGCTCCCGACCGAAATTCAGCCCCATAGTTTCATATTGCATCGTTGTCCTCGCCGGCTTCAACAAAATGGCCCGCCCTTGAAAAGGCTGAAAGCATAAAAGCTGATATAGATAAAAGGAAAAGAGAGAGACTGCGTTAGAACAGGTTTTTGCACATATTTGAATTTAACATTCTCCGAATGTGTTCTCGCCCGAGTATCTGTACCGTAGAGATAAAAGATCAGCGGGATATTCATTAGGGATACCATGGTCACATGTGGCAACGTACGTGATGTATAGGAAACCGTCCTCATCCTTGTGCTCTTCATAGATGCTGCTCATCAGAGCGGCTGTGGGAGGGAGAACCTCATCGACGAAGATGAAAATGGCCTTTTCGGGAGAAAGCTTGATGCGTTTGCGGATGACGTAGACAAACTGGCCGACGGTGAGATCTGCGGGGACAAGATACTTCTTCTTGTCGATGGTTGCGATATCGGATTTCTCGACTTTCTCACAGATAACCTGCTCACCGCCATATGGGATATATACATCAGCACAGGGATTCATACGATGTTGTGGTCTTCATAGCATAGCAATAAGAAAGGTGAACGAAGTATTGGGCATGAGTGGTTGATAGAGGGGTGGTTGAGGGAAGTGAGGGAATGATACCGGGATACGGTCTGCATATTTCGCTCGAATGCGCTCGGCTTCCGCCTTGCGCTTCTCAAATGGATGCTCGTCCTTGAACTTGGAACGCATGATGGATATGGAAGTTGTAAACTGCACGTTGGATAGAATAGCGTAGGAAGGGAAATAGGGGGATATGGGGCTGATGCGGGGCAGTGGCTATGTCGTATTTATGGATGGGGTGGGTAGATGGGTTGTAGGGAGATAGATATCGTTTGAGAGGTGGTGACAGATGGAAGATGACGCTGGTTGAAATAGCAGCATGACTAAGCTGCTTGGAAAGCGGTTGTTGGGGTGAATCCAGCACATTCCCACGTGACTCATGACGCCTGTGGATCAATAATACGTAGAAGGTACTGGTACAAGAAGGTGCACTAGTCGCACGAGTGACACAGCGGGACGCAGCCAGTTACGAGGTACCGCTACAACTGACACCTTCAAATTACTAGTCATCCGCCAGGCTTCCAGCGTGCGGGCGCAGGAGCAGTGTCTGGTGTCTGGTAGGCAGCAGTGTGCCACATGTGTCTCATTACTTGAGGCTAACTCATCAAGCAAAGGTGCCTTGGTTCCCTGCGTTGTTGAGATCTATGTCACTCCGATGGCTCATTTTCATTTCTGCCCAGTCGTCTTTTCCTGTTCCTGTTCCCACTGCTCAGCTCCGCGCTTTGGTTCTAGGTTGACAAAAAGGCACATCGATGACTACCCGTCGTTTTTAGGACTTGAGATAGGCCCAACTATCGATGAAATCGAGGGATTGATGCTTTCCCTTCCTCTATCCAGTGGATATCCATATCAGGCGGAGACTCTCATCATCGGAATTTCCCGATCCCTTGAAGAGACGCTCCTTTAACTACCTTACGCCGAGTATGCCAGCATAGTTAGTTACCCATTTGCAAACGGAGCAAATATGACATAATCAACGCTCTCCATCCCAGAAAATCCGAGCTTCCGCACCACGTGATATTCGGCTGGTTGCGATAGATTGAAAAGAAAAGATATCTCTCCAACTTCGCATTTTCCCGGCAATTAACCAATGCTAATTATCTTATCGGATATGCATGGCCACTGATCTGGCGGCCTTGGATTAGTTGTTCGATCCTTGTTTTCTGCCCATTTTTTCCAATTGTAACACTAGTGATCCCCTCTCTTCAGTTGGGAGATAAGTATGGCTCCAAGTATGGCTCCGCAACGCGTTTATGCATCTATCCCAAAAGCTATAGGCCGAGGGGCAGTGCTGAGAGGCCAATTGGCAAGACTGCCTCGAAATCAACTATGCAGAATGTCATATAGGCCAAACCCCCGGCCCAGTGAGCGAGACACTGTCTGGAGACCATACCTCCGAATCTGCGTGGGCATTGTATTCATAGGATCAATGATCTACTCAATGGTAACTTCCAACTCCCAACCCTATGACACATCTTCTTTTCTTGCAAAGACTTAAAACTGACCCATTTCTAAACATCAACAGATAACCGACAATGAATCCAAACTCGATAGCCCCTCAATAGCGGAACTGGATGAAGCAACCAAACGTGAAACCTCCATCACCGACTCCTCTCCAATGCGACTCCGAATGGAGAAGCTGATAAAGGAACACCAACAGAAGATCGTGGATGAATTATCCAGAATTGACGGCAAGCCTTTCAGGGCAGACGCTTGGACCCGCCCCAATGGCGGCGGCGGCGTCTCCTGCGTGCTGCAGGACGGCAACATTTTTGAGAAAGCCGGCGTCAACGTCTCAATCGTGTACGGAAAACTACCCCGCCCCGCCATCGAGAAGATGCGCGCAGACCACAAATCCTTCGTCGGGTCTGACGTCGACTCCCTCGACTTCTTCGCTGCCGGCCTCTCCCTGGTCCTCCACCCCAAAAACCCCATGGCCCCAACCGTCCACCTCAACTACCGCTACTTCGAAACCTCGGACCCTAACAATCCTCTTAGTGGCGACAAGAACTGGTGGTTTGGCGGTGGCACGGATCTAACACCATCCTACCTCTTCCCGGAAGATTGTGAACACTTCCATAAAACCATCAAAGAAGCCTGCGACAAGCATGACGGCACATACTATCCCAAATTCAAAAAATGGTGCGACGAGTATTTCTACATCCCCCACCGCGGCGAAGCGCGAGGCATCGGCGGCATCTTCTTCGACGACCTCGATGCCGAATTCTTCACACAATCCCACTCTCACCCCCACGCCTCCTCCACATCTCAAAATCCGCAAGAGGCACTCTTCTCCTTTGTCACGGATGCCCTGTCTTCCTTCCTCCCCAGTTACATCCCCATCATAGAAAGGAGAAAGGACATGCCATTCACGCCCGCTGAGAAGGAGTGGCAGCAGATCCGTCGCGGACGATATGTGGAGTTCAACCTTATCTATGATCGTGGGACGAGTTTCGGCCTTCGCACGCCTGGCGCACGTGTGGAGAGTATATTAATGAGTTTGCCACGGACGGCAGAGTGGAAATATATGGACCCGGTGTCCGGGACGAGGGTCGCTGATGGCACTTCAAGAGCTCCGGAGGAGGAGGAGGAGGAAGCTGGTGGTGAGGACAAAGTGCGGGAGAGAGAACTGTGTCATGTCTTGAAGAATCCGAGACAATGGGTTTGAGGAGAAGTTGTTCGAGTTACATTTCCCTTTTTCACGATGATTCTGGTCTTATGGATGATTCCCACCTCACTTGTTTGTGTCTTCTTTCTCCCCTCCCTCACCCTCCGTCCTTCCATCTCCGTCTCTCCTTCCAGGGGATTGTAGTACGCCGATGCAAGATATTTAACATTATTGGTGATTCAAAATGTATAGAGTCAGGAGAAACTGGAAAAAAATATCAAGAACATTATCAATTCATCAAGACTTAATGGGGTCTCTCCGCAATATATAAATGCGCGATGAGCCTCTACAATCCGTTTCTGTTCTTCATGGCGTTCAATGTTATTTCCCTTCATAGATTTCCGCTATCTATAGGGACCCAAAGAACACATCAAAGCGCGTTATTAAAATCGGAGTGAGGGGCATATAAAACATGCGAATTTGCAAGATGATTAAATGATTTAAAGATGAGTTGCTCTGTCTGTAGATTAGTGGGAAGAAACCAAATGAAAATTAAGAAACTTCAAAAGTGTAAGGGATATATATAATCAGTAAATATGCATTTTGGATGTGTATGCAAGCGCTATTGGGAAGAGAAGAAATCTACGCAGAAGAGGAAAAGAGAATGGATGGGGATTAATGATAAGATGATAAGGAAAATAAAAATAGCAAATGGCTGCAGCGATTTATTTAAAGAGAAATGAACTGGAAAGAACAAGTCTTTTGTACTGACAAAGGGGGCGAGTTAAATATGGCATATCAGAATCCAAATATGCCGAATAAATCCAATAAAAATGCTAGGGTGGGGAAAACGTAAGGACAAATGTCTAATATAAGAGAGATATATGCCAGTGAAGTTTAAAAAAAATTTTTGAATAAAAAAATTTAAAAAATAAGAGGAACAAAATGGCTGATGTATCTGCACCACTGGGCCTGGTGTTAGTGTGTGATGTGCTGATGATTTTTACCTCATTTCCAGGTTGCATCCAAGACAACTTAATGAACCTCACCTGCTGGTCATATATATATTGCTTTTCATCGTTCATTGCCTCTAGCCACGAGAGCTCTTTGCTTCGCAAGCCAGCTTCGATGAACCTCCGCTCCAGGCGTGCTGGTGCTCGCGGGATGCCGGTATCGCTGCATGGAAAAGTTGGCATGCTGCAGTCGGGATTGTTGGTCATACCACGCTGATGAAATGAGCGCGATCTCGCGTGCTTGGCGTTGTATGATTTGCATCAGGTTTTTCTATAAGTTATGGGTGCGTTTTAGTTGGTTTCTCTTGCCTTGGGCTTTTATTTTTGTAGAGGCAAAGGTGGCTGTTGTAGAACTGGGTAAGAGAATTCAAATTTTACCTGTGATTCAAAACTTGAACCTTGTTCCTCCAGGTGCTCAATTCGTTCTTGAAGAGACTTTATAAGTTCGTTCTGCCGATTTATATGCTGTTTCTCCCATGCGTTGGCGGCAAGTTAGTAGAGGGATTGAGGTCCGGTTTAACATAATTTTCAAACGAACGCTCAAGATCACAAGATAGCGGTATGCCTCGAGAATGATAAAATACAATACAAGCGCGGCGAGGAGGAGCGACCATTGTCAGAGCGACAGGGCACTCCGGACCTACGACTGGTCAACAGCGTCTGCCAATGCTTGTATCTATTTCGCGCATAAAGGGAGAGTTTAGATATAGATCCAACCCTAGCCACCTGCGGTCTGGTTGATATAGTAGTACAGTTTGGGAAATCCTTCACCTGGCCAAGAGGCCTTTTTGACCATTTGGGGATCATCTGAGAACAAAGTGGGAAAAGCGATTCGAGAGTTAAAAAGTTGTCCACTAACCTCTGCTCTCTTCGCCAGGTTTTCAGCGCTGCGCTCCGCGGTCTCAACAAACTGCCTCAACAACTCAGTCCCTGAGAGTTGGGGCCCATCAGAAGTGCTATTGATTCTGACAGTGACCTCTTCGAGAAGTCTCTTCATTTCATCCATGGTGGCTTGATCTTCGCCTTGCATCTCCTGCTCCTTCTTGGTGATCATGTCTCGGAGGGAGTCACGCTCAGCAGACACCTCCTTGACGAATGTTTGGCTGGCTGAAAGTTTGGTTTCGAGCTCTTCGATTCTGTTTCGAAGTGATTGTACGCCTTCTCGCATTTTTATTATTTCCGGAGGAGAGGAGTCGTTTGCCGCGTCAACCATGTCGAGTTTATCGTTACTGATCGAGCCCACTTCAACAATGTCAACCAGGGGATGAAGGAAAACATTTGGGCAATAGACTCACATTCGGATTTTGCGTCCCGGAACTGTCGATCTGTTTCTTCTAATTCGTTTTCTGCATCAGTGAGCTTCTTGCGAACGGCTGAATATTCATCTTGTAGTTTCTGATATGCGTCACTGCGGTTTCCGTTATTAGAGTCTGATCGCTGCAAGGGAGAGTTTGATTCTCACTTCTCTGAAAATTTCGCAACACCGAGCCCAGTCGAATGTGACATTTCACCGTTAAATCTTTCAAGCTCTCGTCTGGGCCCTTCGTTCTCGATTTTACTGGAACAAGTTAGCGTATCCACTGAGCATGGAACAGGTGTCACCAACAGTTGCGCTTCTCGTCGACCAACTTCATCAAGATCCCTCTGAAAAGTCCCGTGAACCTTTGGCGTTGTGCTCCCTGGTGTTATTGGGCTCTCCAAGCCCTCGAGTTCCCGTATTCGGTCACGCAATTCACTGATCGTGGCTTCATCTCTGGCAATTTGGTCTTCTGCGCTTTGAAGTCTTTCGGTAAGAGCATGGTTGTTAAATTCCAGCTGCTTCTTGACATTTTGAATTTCGTGACGATCTTGCTCTATTCTTGGGAGGACGCGACGATATTCCTCGAGTTCCACATCACGCTCAGAAGAGGATTTTTGGCTAATATCGCTGTCTCTCAACTGCTGTTGCAGATTCTTCACTTGATTTTTAAGCGCAATATTCTCCTTTTCAAAATCGTGGCTGGCTTGAAGCTTCTGTCGGTATTTCTCCGCCGCATTTGCTCGTCTGGAGAGCTGATCTCGTTCGTTCTTTACTTCGTCGTAATCGTCTTGCAGCTTCTGAAATCTCTGGTTTTTTACGCGTAGAGATTCAACAGTCATCCGTAGATTATCGATTTCGTCCTGAGAAGACTGTATTTTAGCTTCTTGAGACGCTATAAGATCCTCTTGCTGCTGGGTTCTACTCTCGAGCGTTTTGGCATTCGGTATCAAATCCGCTTTGCCAGATTTAAGGATAGCCAATCGGTCTTCCGTAGATGTGAGCCTATCTAGCACCATATCGTGGCTTTCTTGAAGCTGAGCTAGACGATTGTGCAAATCCTCCACTGTTTTCTCAAGCTCCTGCTTTTCATCTGATAATTTATTTTTTTCCGCCAGCACTTTTCCGAAACGCTCCTCAAATCGCAGTTCTGGGTCCATGGGCAAATCCCGTCTTGTGGAGTTGTAATTCCGCTCATAATCAAGCTCCTCCAATCTCTCATCGGACGGATTCTGTGCTTCTTGGATGATATCTTTGAGGCCTTCTTGTGTCGAAGTGGACAGCTTCTGCATTGTCGTTATGTAGGTTTCAGCATTTGGCGAGCTAATGGCGGCGAGAAGGAATAGTTTGAGTAGTTCGTTGGTTTCCTTTGTCGACGAAGCTTCTGCAATAGCTTTTAGATCGGGGGAGATATTAAGTCCCGACGGAACTTCGCCTTCGTTCTGGTTCCTTATATACCCGATCAATGCCTTGTGGATGTATTTGAGGTTCTGCCATCGCGGAACCCAGTGGTCTGAGGGAGAACGTTCCGGTAACTCTCCAAGAAAGTACTGCGGATCGATGTCCTGAAGAGTATCCCAGAGGATAGGGCCATCATTTAACTGGTCAATGGATCGAATGGTAGTCCCCAGGTTAAAGCTGTTGATCCATTCGAGGAGGGTCGACGACACGAGGTCGGAGAGCATTGTGACGAGGGGTTGGGCCGCAAGGATTTACAAGATATGCAAGAATTTAGTACCAAAATGATCCCACATCATGGTACGGAAGGGAGGAGGCGGGGGAATGAGTGTGGCAGCACCTAAAAGCCGTGTTTGTCTGGTGGGTTGGAGATGCGACTCGTGTGCGGAGTAAACAAGAAGTCACGTTAAGTTCCATATATTTAAAAGATGGCGTCGGAGATCCCTTGGAAAGGGATGGGCCCAAACAATTGTCTTGTCCCTGCCCCATACAACAACGATTTTCGCAGTACAATCTGGGCATTGCCATCCGTGCCTAAATAATTCAGAGCAGTTGAATACTCTTACAGTTGATGCTAGCATTTAAATATCATGTTTAAATGTTTCCAATATGATAATCAAACGAGACACCCAACGCATTTTGGAATTCTTTGTCGTATCTGCCTACTTTCGCTTATTTACTTCCTGTCAAAGACGTCCTCCGAATGTAAGAAAAGAAGGATATCGTTCAAAGAAAATACAATAAAAGTGGAGGCCAATCAACTTAACCCATCAAATATGAAATGTACAACCACTGCCCAAGGGAAGAATATCAAGGCACATAAGTTGCAGATTGTTTGTTTCTAGCCTACCCTCCTGATTAATTTGATATCCGCACGCCGAGAAGCAGAGTGACTCCCCACAGCAGCCGAAAGAAAATGGAAAATCCAACTGTCGACGGAAATATTCCGGCGTATGATTCAATTTGTGAAATACAATTCCCACTTTGACGGCTCACTTGGCGTGAGAATTTAGGATCCAGGTCCGACTTTAACGATCTGGCTGTAAATGCTGACAGTGGAATCTTCTTCGACATAAGCATTATATCCCTCTCCCAAGGTCGACACTAATTCCATCGCCTGTGCCGGAGCTGTTGCAGCGAATCCCCTAAGTTCGCAGACCATGGTTCAGCGAGAGGTCAATAGGGACGTGAATTGAGGGCAGCATCATACTTTATCAAGTTATATCTATGGGTGATGAAGCCACCCTATAATCACCGTTAGTGGATTGTAGTTAGATATCAAACGCTCCCCTCAGGTGGGTACTAAATATCTGGGTATCATACAGCCATCTGGATCGCCTCGATAGCTTGGTCGACAACGGAGTCAGGGGTATTGTCCGGATAGCTAACCACGAATGATTTGATGGGTTGGTTTCCTGCGAGGGCTGCCGGTACCAAAAGCGCCAGAAGAGCAGCGACGGAGAAGAGCTTCATTGTGAGGATCAGATCGGATGGGTAATATTAGAAGTCTAAATATCCAAACATGTACCAAATGATAAATTGCTGGATGAAGTGAGATAGATGTCAGCAGTGAAGGACGGGAGCATGTATTCATGCAGAGTTGCATTCCCCGATGAATGGACTTTTGTCTGATGGGTTCCAAGGTGACAACCATGCAAGAATCCAAAAAGCGTCTCCCTGGGTATGGAAGTCCTGGAGTCATAGATGGGGGATGCCTATCGTACGTAACCTATATTGGGGTTAGTTAAGGCTGCCCCAGGGAAGGGGTGAGTCAGCCAGTTTCACCACGCATCACATGATCCTCCGTTGCGCATGTGATGACGGGGTTCCCCGCCTTCGTTGATCAGTTGGTCTTCCATTGGTGGGAGGACTGGCTAGCTAACTAATATACGCGTATATCACGTGCGGTGGGCGGCTACCGAGCAGGCATGCCCAACAATTAATTAGTTACCGCCTTCGTTGATCTAATCCTTCCGGTTCCGGAGGGCGGCTATCTACATCACGTGATATACGTGCAGTAGCGTAAGCAAACCTGGTCAAACCGAGCCAACAAATATATATTAATTAGTGCGTAGTATTTGGAAGCCTAGGCTCCCACAGTTAGGACTCTTATATCTGCGATCACGTGCGGGCGGGGTCGCTTTGGGTTGATCTTTGTACGGAGTAATATTGGTAATATTGGAAGGGAATAAGTCGCATAGTCTATATGCGCGGAATCACGTGCGTGGCCGCGCTCGGGTGCTGTTCGTCTACGCCCCAACGGGGACAACAACCGCTTAAAAGCCACACAGAACAATACGCTCCCACAAGGTAACACGATCACGTGGTTTTCGCTGACTCATCCCAGTCAAAGGCGCAAGCTACGAACGTTCCTTCGCTGAGCCTCAATCTTCAACCTCCAAAAATCTTCAACTCGCTTCATCCTACGACAACAAAGACAACGAAGACGTAACGATAACCATACCCTCTAGCAGCAACGGCTGTCCCTTGCATAACTCTCATACTTTCTATTGTCACTGCCAGCAACCTTGTATTTGATTGTACTCTTCTATCTCATTTTACCCACCCCTAGTTTGATTCTACCCCCATCCTCTTCTGTCGGTGTTGCTTTGCAACCCCGATTCCTAATTTGCCTCCTGGGGCAATACATCATCTGCTATTAACCAAACCCCGGCTTTCCTAGCTGCCAGCACGTTAGCTGTTGGAGTATTTGGCATTTTGTTGCTGAGAAGGACGGAAATAGGACTGGTGGCATCGTGCGGAGGTTGTATGGGTGGTGGATTATGCTAGGGAGATATTTGCGTTTGGAGGGTTTCACATCAGCCTGTTCTGTCAAGTGTGCACAAGGAATAGCTAGTAACCATTCTACAAATTCTGTCCTAACTTTTCATTTCTTATTTTAAACAATTCTCACTCTCATTTAGCAGAAGCTTGCTTCAGGCAAAAACAAGAAGACACAGAACAAAAAGAAAGAGACAAAAGGATTCCATTCACTGCTTCTCCTAGCAAAACAGGACATTACTGCAAAATTCTCCAAGGAAACTCATTTCACCTTTCTGCCCTGCTTATATTTACGTTTCTTCTTTCCTATTCCTTTCTTGTTTGTTTCACTTTGTCTTTGATATCCTCCTATTTATCTGTTCATAATCTTCTTCTCAGTTCCATCGGTATACCAAGTGCCCAGCATGTCGGCAGGACTGGCATCTGATGAAGTCGCGGAAGATTACAAGAACTCCCTCGAGGACCTAACAGGAAACGATAAATTCCAAATTAGCAATCTTACTGTGATCGCTAAGGAAAACACAGAACATGCGATGGCCATCTCCCGAGTATTGGAGAATCATATCCGAACGGTAGGTACTTCATACTTTTCTTGCTTTCTCCTGCTTGCCCCCGTTTCTGTTACCCATTAGTCAGTCCTTCTATGCTTTGCGACCCCTGAAACTACTCGAGCACCTGTAGCAATATTGACATATTCACCTCTAACTCGGATTTTCATTTGTAGACTCCCCCAGCCCAGAAGCTCCCGGCTCTCTATGTAGTTGATTCAGTTGTGAAAAATGTAGGAACGCCTTACACCCTATTTTTGGGCCGCAACCTTTATCAGACATTCATGAACGCATATACTCTTGTCGACTCTCAGACCCGGAAAAAACTGGATGAAATGTTGAAAACTTGGAAAGAGCCTGTTCCCGGCTCCCTGGACACTAGACCTGTGTTTCCTGTTGAGATAACTCGCAGTATTGAGAATGCTCTGATCAAAGCCAGAACAGCTGCCCTTCAAAACCAGCAGGCGAGAAGCCAGCAGGATCTTCTCGGCCGGAATCGTGGAGTTGTTACGCCTCCGACTTCGACCACCTGGCAACATACTCCAACTCCGCCGCAAGTTGCTTCACGATATGCGCAATCATCCAATCAAAATGCTCCTCCGCAGCACCCAAGTAATGGACAGCTCTATGTAAGCGCTCAATGCCTCCCGATTGCGCTGGCTGTTCTTCTACTAACGCCAACCCAGCAGTCCCAGCCATATGGACACCCAGTCCAAGAACCTGTTGATCTTGGCGCATTACACCGTGATATAGATAATCTGATCTCAAATTCTCGAGTTGACTTCGCAAATAATCCCCTTGACCCTTCAATTCAGCAACGGCTAAAAGCCCTTCTAGACCTCCAGAATATCCTGCAGCAACAAAAACTGCCTCAAGATCAGTTGAGACTTATTCGAGACCAGGTATCTCAGCTTTCACCACCATCCCAACCGCCTCCACGAGCTGTTCCAACTCCACCGGTGCAATCGGTGCAACCAATGCAACAGAGCCAGACATCGCAGCCAAACCTTCAAGCCCTGCTGAATCCGAACACGATCGCAGAGCTCTTAAAAGTGAGAACAAGCCAACAAAGTCTCACTCCACCGCCGCCACCGCATATCCCCTCATTTCTTCAACAAGCAGCAACTAGCACGCCACCTCCTCCGCCTCCTTCTACAGCACCTGCCCTAGCAGAAAATCCATTGATCGCCTCTCTTAGAGCCCGAGGGTTGCTTCCTCCCCCTGTGACATCTACTCCTCCAACACCCACGAATCTTCCGTTTATTCTCCCTGGACAAGCGGGATATGCAACCCCGGTTGCCATGCCTCAACTATCCACCCTATCCGAAACCAAAATCAATGTCCAAATGACCTCAGCGTCTATCAAAATGTAAGCGCTCCTAAAACAAAGTATATTGAACAGTAATTGTAATAACTGTGTTACCCATTTTTCTATCTAGACCAAGACCGAATCTAATTGCAACTCTTTACGAAGACAAGCCAAACAGATGTGGCACATGTGGCCGACGCTTTCAATCGGATGATCAAGGGAAGGAAAGAAAAGCACGCCATCTGGACTGGCATTTCAAAACCAACCAACGTATGACTGAAGCTACCAAGCGCGGGCAAAGCCGAAGCTGGTATTTGGATGAACGGGTATGTAACTGCAAAAGAACCTACGTCTATATATATATATATATATATATATATATATATATCTCGGTAACCCCAGCTCACAGTAGTCAACAGGAATGGATAAACTCACTAGAATGCGACGACGACATCGGCCCAACTAATGAAGGCACAACTTCCATTAACGGATCGGCAACCGACGCTGCCGCAGCGGCTGCAAAGAAGACGCCACAAACGCAATGGATCCACGCGCCAAATGACGCAACGCTCCGAAGCGTGCCGTGCCCCATCTGCCAGGAACAGTTCGAATCGACGTGGTCTGAAGAAGCGCAGGATTGGATTTGGCAGGATGCTACCAAGGTGGGCAGTCGGATATATCATGCTAGTTGCTATTCGGAGCTCACGAAAGATGGCACGGTGACGGGGCGGGGAACGCCCGTGGGTAGAACTGGGAGTCGGACGCCTGACTCGGTTTTGGGGAAGAGGAAGGCGGAAGTAAGTCTCCTCACGTTGTTTATTTTGCACAGCAATCCTGAACGGAGGGGTGTCGTATACTAACTATTTTTCTCATTTGTCTCCAGGAACCAGAAAATGCCACAGCTAGTGTTAGAATAAAAACTGAACCTGCATCCTGACATGTTTTACACCTAGAAGCTTTTCCCTTTCTTTTCCTACTTTTTTAGCCCTTGAGCGGCCGGCCTCACTTTGTACCCATGACCCCAGAGCAGGTCTGCCACGCAGGCTTTATACCCTAATATCTCTCACTGCTTTCGCCACTTCAATATATTGTTTGAACATAAAAGCTGGCTGCTATTCATTGCATTGAAAAGTCTGTCTAGAGGCTTGACTTAGACTTCGGTGTTTTGTTTTATTTCAACCTCTTCCATGAGCATGGCATGGCATGGTTCCTTTGAGTCTATATTTCTCTGGTTTTTTCATAGATTGTCATCTACTCCTTTCTTTCCAATAGCAGACAATATTCGAAAACCTGAGTTCCGCGTTATTTTTCCCGGTTATTCTTGTTGTTTTTGTGCCTGTTTGTTTTACTGAGTTGATAGTCATAGAACTAAGAATAAGAAAACAAAATCTGTGAAATTATTTTAGCTGTCTTAACATTTTCTTCGTTCAGTCATAAGCTGGCTCTCCATCAGCTTAGCATTCATGCCTTCACCACCGGCTCTCATCGGTATGCCGAAAACCCTGACTTTTCGCAAACTTCCGGTTTCTAGCTTACGGACCGAGGTTCCATTCGCACCCAGCGTAGTACATGCTAATGATACCATCGTGCATAACAGCAGCTTATTCCGCATAAAATTCAAGGTTTGTTAATGTGAGTATGACGGTAGCTATGGAACTCAAACGTAAGCCCTCATTAGCGTTTGGATAAGTTTATGTCAACCCTTCGCCAATCTTAGCATCCAATATTAGTTAGGAGGATCATGTGTGGGTTAACCAAACCTTGCTGCTGCCATCTCTTCTCAAGCCCAGTTCGCTGCATATATCGACGATCATAATGGCGGAACCATACATTGCCAGGTGGGGGTTCATGGGTATGGATAGACACTCTCCTCCCCCTTCTTGCATTCCACACCCTACGGCACATATTCAATTAGCTGACATAGTATGTATATATATATATATATATATATATTTAATTAGCCACGGGAGGGATTGCCAAAAGTATGAATCATATCCAATCCCCCTAATAAAACCCATAGAAGAATAATATAAATAAAATGAATACCGCGCCCAATAATCTAACAATGATATCTCGTCAACAATCTCAGCATTCGCAATGGATCTGCTCATCGACTCCTCCCTCCGCAACGCCCTAGATATCTCCCACAAAATAACAGCAGTCGCCTCCTCCACCTCGCGCGAAAGTGCAGAGAAATTCGTAACAGACCTCTCTATCCCCCAGCCATGCGCAGCATACGGTTCCTATGAGGATCTCGTCAATGATGCCAATGTGGACATCGTCTACATAGCCTCACCACACTCTCATCATTTCCAGAACACGATGCTCTCGCTGGAAGCGGGGAAGCATGTGCTGGTTGAGAAGCCGATAGCTGTCAATGCCGCGCAGGCGAGGATCCTCGCTGAGACGGCGAGGAGTAAGCAATTGTTTCTTATGGAGGCGGTGTGGACGAGATATTTCCCGCTTTCGGTGCAGATTCGGGAATTGATTGGGAACGGGGAGATTGGGGAGGTGCTGCGCGTTACGGCGGATACGAGTGATGGGGGTAGGGATCCTGAGGGGGAGTGGGGGACGACGCATCGGATGGTTAACATGGATTTGGCGGGCGGGGTGTTGTTGGATGGTAAGTGCGATTATTACATCAATAGCAGTATATTCTGTGAGTTGTGGCAGCATGGAGAGCGATAATAACGGTGTATATATACACAGTGGGCATCTATTCCTTAACCTGGATATTCCAGACGCTCTACCACACCCTACCCCCGTCCAAACGCAAACCCCCTTCTTCCATCCAGTCCCAAATGATCCACTACCAGCCCACAGGCGCTGACGAATCCACCACAATCCTTCTCGAATTCCCTTCCTCAACGCCCGCAGGGACTCACAAAGCTCAAGCTGTCGCCATGACTAACTTCCGCATATCCTCCAACCCAGATGGACACTGGGCTGCGGGTCCCTCCGTGCGAATTCAGGGCACGAGTGGGGAGATACAAGTTTTCGGGTTCCCGTTTCACCCGGACAGTTTCAAGGTGATACCCCGCAAGTTTCCAGGTGAGTGTGACAGTGGTGGGGAGGGCGTGGGGATTAGGGAGGTTGTAGGTTCGTTTCCGGGGAATGGGAAGGGGATGTATTGGGAGGCTGATGAGGTGGCACGGTGTGTGAGGGATGGGAAGCTGGAGAGTGAGACGATGCCGTTGGAGGAGAGTTTGGTTATTATGGATGTTATGGATGAGGCGAGGAGACAGGGGGGTTTGAGGTATCCGGAGAAAATTGAGTCGACTGTGTATCCGTTGAAGCTTCCGGAGAAGAAGAGAGATTCTTAAACGGTCAAGTTGTTTAAGGGTTGATAGTCCCTTTTGCGGGAGTGCTGGCTCTGTGGGGTGATGTGGGATGGGATATAGGGGGTGAGAATTTCAAGTTAAGGTTTGCGAATGTAATTCATGGAGCGATTAGGCAAGATAATTAATTGCTCTAGCTAGGGGTTAAATCTGACACGTTGACATGTATTAAACACGCCCTTACTTTCTGCAAATGATTCGGACTGGTTGTTACGGATTTTCAACCCCCCCTAGAAGGGTGACAAGGTTGAATCGCCTATGCAAGATCATAAAGTGGGGATTCTTTCTCTCGTTGGCTCATAAATCTCACGGTGCTGGGATATCTAACTTATCTCATCACCATCATAAAAACATCGAAACATAACAGTAATTACAGTAGAATCAACGAAACCAAAAGAAACTTTGTGAGATTTCATACCATCAGACGCCAGACACCAGACACCAGACACCAGACTTCCCATTCCATATTGTGTTTTTGGGCAACAGGTAACTGTCCAGAACGAACTTATCTAGATGGAAACAAAGAATGAATGAAGAGTTATTGAACCAACAATCACCAGACGCTCGTGACATGAAGTCAGATGATTGACAAGGGCAAAAAGGAGAAAGGGAAGTTAAATAAAAAAGCAGAATAAACCAATCGCAATGAAATACTCAAGAATCTTCAAATGCTCCCGTCCTCCGAAAATAAAGTTCGCACAGCGTCTCCTTTTAGTAGTCGCCTGGGTCAGCGTATACGAAAGGGTCCGTTGTGTGCACAGTACATATTCACTGAGCCGTGCCGGGTTCGACTTCAAAATCAAACTCCTCGCCGGTAGTTGGAATTGGCGCATCCGTTGGGTCGGGTGATTCGGTCTCGCTGCTATCAGTTGTGGAACCCAATTGATCCGGCTATGGTTTAATGTCAACAATCAGCTCCCAGCTGATAAAGAATATCAAATTCATTCATTGGGGAGTCTGTTGTGACACTCACTCAACCTAAGAGTGCAGTTGTAGGGGTTGCAGCTAGTCCCAACAGGCGGGCATGGAGAATGAAAGAGAAGAAGGAAATCGGGATAAACTCACCATAACTTCGATGAGGTCGTCATCGTTAGGCATGGGTGCGGGAGGGCTTGGCACCTCAGCCGTTGGCAAAGCGCGGTCCATATAACTGACTGGGTTGGCGGGTGGTATCTGAATGCCGTCATAACGTACAATTGCTGTAAGTATAGGGGTGGGAGGACCTTAGCGGGATCCAACAACATAGAGGTGGGGAAGGAAAGGGGCAAAGTGGGGTTACGGAGATTGAGATGGCGAAACCAACAGGGCCCCAAATGAGATAGAAACAAGAAGATAGCCCAAGCGGAATTGAAGATTTGGGGTACTCTAGAGAGGGTTTGCAGGCAACATTGACTGATTTGTCCTCTCTGTTTTGAGCACAAACTTACGCTCAAGGTGAAGCATTCCCAAATCTGCACTGGTCTTGGGACTGAAAGATGATAGTAACAAAGAAGAGAGATGTTAGTTGTCTATCATTGGAAATAATAACAAAGTGTACTGAGAGTAAAACGGACTTGTAAAAAGGCCTGTTTCCTCTTCTTCCCCCGTTTTCAGAAGCCAAAGTAGGGTGACAGAAAGGGGGAGGCCCAGGGAACAGAGGCTGATGCCACTGGACTTGGTGATATAGCTGGTAAGCAAGGAGAAGTGATGGAAGAGCCTTACAATTGAGGTTGCCCTATTTCTAAGCCACCAACAGAGGAGGTTGGTTGGCTATGACGACCCTCACAAGCACATGAAAAACAATTACCCATTGTGAGATGGATAACTTGATATTCTGAAAAAGTAAGGAGTGATAGAGCTGAAAGCTGTGACTGAGGAAGAGAATGAACAGGATTTTGCCCTAATTAGAGCAAGTATCTGATATAGGTAAGGATTGCTGATGAGAAACAACCTGGGAACAGAGGATTCAACAAGACTAGGATGAAAGAGTTTTTGAGGAATAAGAAGAGGAGTGGATTAGCGAGGTTATGAGATGGTCGTAATGTGAAGAGTTGATATGGCATGATATGGCATCAGGGAGTCAGGGCTTCTGTCACCAAGGAAACAGGGCATTCCCATCAACACACCACGCACAAGAGATAAATTGTGTTCTTGGCCCAAAACAGTGTCAGAATCCATAGAAAAAAGATATATAGCAAAGTTTGGCTCAAGCTAATATAAATGCCATAACTTGTTTTTGATATCTGATAACAGACATATCAGAGCCCCTGAGCACGAATACAGAGCAACACATGGGTATCAAGTAGACTGAAAGGAAACAACTATTAATAGAGAACAAGAAAAACAACCACCCAACCCTTAGAACAGCAAGAAAAAGATTGAAACCGGAGAAAATAAAACAAGACAAAGCAGATTTGCCAAAAGTGGTTGATTGACAGCGGAAAAGTATTATGATACAAGAGCTGCGTATCCCGCATTCTATGTACGAGTACAGTTGCTTACCTATCGCCAAAGCAAAAATGGAATAGAAGCTTTTCGCGTATAAAATCATGGGGCACATATATTCTCCAACAGGAAGTAGGACGGATCCATTCCCGGCACCGGAGAAAGTAGAGGGAATCCGTGAAGAGAAGAAACAAAACGGAAGCGGGTGCATAAAAAAGCTAACGAGATATGAGGACATGATGATTTATAAGAGGAAAAATGATGTTAAAATTAGGCCGGCCTTATTTTGACAGGCCAATTTTGCCAAGTATTGGACTAGAAGGGGTCTTGTCGCTGTCAAAAACTTTCAGCAGGCTCTTCCACACCTGTCCAGGTTCTTGGCTAGCATCGATCCCCGTCCAGATGCCAGTTTTCTTGTAGTATCCAACAATAGGGGCAGTTTGGGAGTGGTAGGTCTTGAGTCTCTTTTGCAGGGCCTCCGCGTTATCATCAGAACGCTGGATCAATGGCTCCCCGGTAATATCGTCCTTCATGGGTTCCTTGGGGGGGTTGAAGATCTTGTGATACGACCGTCCCGAAGCTGGATGGACCAAGCGACCAGTTATCCGTGCAACCAAGAGCGCATCGTCGATCTGGAGCTCGATGGCGTGTTGAAGCCTCTGGCCACGCGAATCAAGCATGCCATCCAATCGCTCAGCCTGGGCGACTGTGCGTGGGAAACCATCCAGGATAAAGCTATATATGTTTCCAATAGCGTTATGTTAGTCAAGAAATGCAACATTCCATGCCTGGCGCCAAAGGTGGGAAAAAGTAATACGCACCCGTTCTGGCAGTCCTTGTTCGTCTCCAGCTCATGCTTGATCATGTTAACCATGATCTCATCACTAACCAGTCCTCCCTGGTCCATGATCTTCTTGGCCTCCTTGCCCAACTCAGTCTTGCGAGCGACTTGTGACCGTAACATATCTCCTGTGGCCTGCACAGGAAAGGTTTAAAAAAAAAAAAAAAGGCACGATCTCAGTCAGTTACCAGTCAATCGATCCACTTGAGGATTTTTCCTCCCGAACGCGGAAAGAGGTTATGTGTAGCAACTCACCAGGTGGCAGACACAGAACTTTTCCTTGATATTGGGAGCTTGAGTTCCCTTGCCTGCACATCAATTCAATCAGTAGCTGCACATACAAGCTACGTGATGTCCGCAATAGCTAACTGACAGGAAAGGACGGGAAGGGGGGAAGGAGATTCGGCTCCACGCACCAGCACCTGGAGGGCCCATCAAAATCATCCGCACAGATTCCGCGACGGACTTAGGCTTCGACGAGTCACCGCCATGGAGTAATCGATGTTCCAATTGAGCCACCCGCGACTCGAGTTCGCCAATGATGTTCTTGAGGCTGTCGATGGTCTCATCCTTGATGGGAGCCATGATGTGAGGAATGAGACTGAACGGAAGATGAAGATGGAGCCGATCCTAACCAAAATCCGCTAGTCGCTCGTTTAACAAAGGAAACGGAGGAAGAGGGGGAGAGGGGAGAGGGGAGGGGGAGAGGGGAGAGGGAGGAAGAAGAAAAGACTGTTTTTTCGGGTTGGATGGTAGAGTGGTGGGGAAAATGTTTTTTAATGTATGCGGCGACGGGAGGTGTCCGGAGGTGGAAATTTAAACAGACGAAAGATGGAAGGTCGAAGCCAAGAAATTTGTGATGGGGGGACCAAGCTCCCGCCCGGCCGAGGTGCGTGAGGCTGCGTGGTTTATTTACCGTGAAGAGTGTGCAGATTGTCCATACTGAAGTACGTAAAGCCCCTTAGGAACAACCGCGCAAGCCGCGAACTGGAAAGGAACCCGGTGTCTCCACAGCAGCCAGCTCAAAACTCTATTATTGCCAAAGATCTTTTTTTTTTTGTCTCTTCCGGTGAGCTCCAATGTTTTTTTCCCCAACTTTCCAGGCTTTACCCGAAGACGAAGCCCTCATATATCCATCCAAGCTTAACTCTAGCAGGGTTATATTTTTCTATATAGACACTGTAACCTTTTTAAGCTCAACAACATATTCCTCCATCGTAACATTCATCTTCATCTTCACAATACTCGGTATGCAAGGTGGGCTGAACGATGATCTGCAAAATATGTTTGGGGGCAGCCGAAACCGTGATAACCACGTGATTTAAGCGGACTAGCCGCTTGGTGCTCACCAGCCACATAGAGTCCCGCCACTCTCCCTCACCCTTACGCCAGAAGCCATGTGGCTAGTGAGGAGCTTGCTCTTGCTTAGTCATTCCTACAGCCAAGCCTTGGTGATTGCCATCGAAAGAGCTACACCCGACAAACATCACTGCACGCAGTTTTATCCCCCTTCTGCGACTATCTTCGGCTCCGTTTCTCTTGCGGCCGGTCTACCTATATACTCCTCCCATACCCAGCATGCCGGCAACCACCGCAGACACCTTGTCGCTGGTGACACGTACTGTCTCCGTCGCTCCATTAGTCCTCCTCTCAGTAGCAGACCACTACGGACGGTCAGCAAAGGGAACGAGAAGGCGAGTAGTCGGCGTGCTGCTGGGCCAGAATGACGGCAAGAATGTCAGAGTGTCAAACAGCTTCGCTGGTAAATTTATATCTATAGACCCTGCGCTTTCCATTGTAGAAATATCTTCTGGGATAGCTAACACATTATGCGACTCCCTCTTAGTGCCCTTCGAGGAGGACGACAAGGACCCGTCCGTCTGGTTCTTAGATCACAATTTTGTAGAGTCGATGAATGATATGTTTAAGAAGATTAATGCTCGTGAGAAGCTTATAGGGTGGTACCATTCCGGCCCTAAGCTGAGAGCGGCTGATCTGGAGATCAATGAACTTTTCAAACGATACACGCCAAACCCCTTACTAGTCATTATTGACGTACAGCCAAAGGAGGTTGGCGTACCTACCGATGCCTACTTTGCTGTTGAGGAGATTAAAGATGTGCGCACCTATTTAGGCATAACCCTCCCCGGGTTCTATTAAGAGCTTTATTTTCTAACTTCGTAATCCGATCACCTAGGACGGAACTACCACATCAAAAACCTTTGTCCATACCCCCTCCATAATTGAAGCTGAAGAAGCAGAAGAGATCGGTGTCGAGCATCTCCTGAGGGATATAAGAGACGTTGCCGTCGGCACTCTTTCCACCCGGATAACATCCCAACTACAATCGTTACAAGGACTCCACCTACGCCTCCGCGATATTGGTCAATATCTACAAAAAGTACTCGACGGCGACCTACCCGTGAATCACGCCATTCTTGGAAATCTCCAGGATGTTTTCAATCTCTTACCAAATCTTTCTACGCCCAAATCTAGTGCGAACGCCCCAGTGAATGGAACGGAGCAGTCGCAAACTGAGAACACGGAAGTTGCGCGTGCAATGAGCATTAAGACCAACGACCAGCTTATGGCTATATATCTGAGCAGCTTAATCAGGGCCATCACTGCTTTCCATGACCTTATCGACAACAAGATTCAGAATCGTCAGCAGCAGGAGGAGCAGGAGGCGAAGAAGGAAGAGGAGAAGAATGGCTCGATGAATAACAGCATCAATGGCAACAACAATGGTAAGAAATCCAAATCGCCTACCGGCAACGATTCCAAAGAGGAGCAAGACGGCTCGAAGGAAAAAGGGAAAAAGAAAGGGTGAATTTGATTCTTGGCTGTGTCTTCTTTTACCCGTTTACTTTTTCTTTTTTCCTTTTAGATCTAACCCCTCTACTTATGTCCCTATCCACCTTACCTAGCGTTTTGTTCCATGGCTTTACGGTGTTGTTAGCCGGCATATATTTGTAAAATACACGCCATGAAAATCAGATTCGTCTCTTTTCACTTTGTATTTTGTTGGCTGGGTGAAGCATCTATATCTTCACGTCATGAATTCAGGACCAGGGATTCTACAAAAGAGGTCGGGGTGATCATAGATGTCTCCCTTTAATAAAAAGAAACCTTGCAAGCAGGTTAATGCCCCTCCACAAGACGTAGTTTGTGATAGGGGTGTAATGGATTCCGTGGCAGGCAGGCACCAGGAGTGTGGAGTGTCGAAGATGTCCAATTGGATTGCTTCTCCGGTTAAAACAGAGGTTGCCGGATAACAATCCTCAGTCATCAACTTCATCACAACTAGCTATTAACTTCCCATTTCGAAACCGTCGCTGCTCTCTAGATAGATGGCTTCTAAGTACGATGACGATACATGTACCGGAGGAGTAAGCCGTACTAAACACCCTCTTTCTCTCTCAGCTATTAACCACCAGATGCCCCCCTGCTTCCCTTCCCTCTCCTCCCATCTTCCCCCAGGGAGCACAACATAGATTAGCATGCTCCATACCGTTTGCAGACCACAAACAAAGCTCTGAAGATTTTGTCTTCAACCTGAAACATCTTTTAATCCCCCCAAAAGCAGTCTCTAGCCTGCCGCGAACCTCCCAGCCATCTCCTTCTCATCATCAACAACTACCTCCTCGACACCTCCTCCAAACAACCCTGGACACTGGCTCCCAAGTAGACATGCAAGTAAATGCTTACACACGGGCGTCCCGTCATCCATCATCTTCATTGTGCCCTTGACCAGAGTGCCACCAAATGGGAATGGACCGGCACTGTCAACTGGAGAAAATCCTACGTCTTCGTCTTCATTGTCTCTGCCTTGATCTTGACTTTCAACTGAAGAATTGAATAGAGGAGGGACGGGAGCAGCATTCCGCATCCCATCTTCGCCGACCCATCTTTCTCCTTCAGAAGCACCCCGGGAAGAAGATCCCAAGGGTCGAAATGCAGCTAGCATAAAGGCCGGACAAGAGCAGTTCCAGGCATTTAGACAGACAATATGTGACTTTTCATAATTGGTATTTCCTCTTGTTGTGTTCATTGCATAATAAGAAGCCGCAGAAGCAGAAGTTGGAGACGAAGATGTAGATGAATGGATGAAGTAAACTCCCGTGTCATTTCTACCATGCTGCTGATGCTGTTGTCGCGCATCTGCTGCCAGCTTGTAATCATATCTCCTAATAATCTTGCGATCTAGGATATCCAAGGCGAGCAACAGCTCATTGGGGAAGAGACAGTGAAGTGTTAGGAGCAGGGGTTTTACTTTTGATAGCTGGAGACTGGGGAGTTGGGTGAATGGGTTATTATTTGCGCCTGTTGTTGAAGTGGGAGATGTTGGTCCGGGGTATTGATATTGATCATTCTGGTCATCGTTGCGGTCTTCTGTTGCAGCTGCTGTCGGTGGCGGTGGATGGAATTGGGATAAACGATGGATGATTGAGGTGATGAATTGGGAGGATGACGGAAGAGGCCCCTCCATAGTTTTCATTGGGTTGAGATATTCACAATTGTCTTGGAGATGTTTCCTTGGTTCATGTTATCTCGCTAGCTAGCTTGGGTGGTGTTATAATGGTGTTTTGAATAGCCAATGCGTAATAAAATATCTATAGTTACGGAAATGCTGGTCTTGATACAAAAGTTCAAGTTCATGTTCATACCCTTCCGGCTCTTAAACCCCTGACAAGACGCCAAAACGAGAAGGAAAAATAAAAAATAAAAAATAAAAAATAAAAGAGTGAGAGAGGAGAAAAAGAAACCCGCTTTGGAAATCCTTCTTTTCTTTCTTTTCCTTCTTTTCTCAAATTTAGTAACTGTGCGCATTCATTTCTATATTCTATCCTATCCATAGAAGGCTACCCGTACGGCTAATATAGACAGGGTAGACTTCGAAAATTCACATTTCCTCGCCAGAGCCGAAAAGAAAAGAAAAATGACGAAAGGGAAATGATTTCACTATTTAGCAATATATGTAGTTATGCCGGGTATGGGCAACGATAGAAAACCCCTGATACCAAAATCATTAACTCCTGAGGTAAATCTAACCTCTACATATATCTTCTTTTAAACGGGTCGATCAGCAAACCAATCTACGGAAGACGGCGACCATTGTTGTCGAATACACAACTGTAGGAAAGATGAACCAAAATATAAGTATTTTAGATCACTAGTTGTTGTATCTTAGCTTTTGGGTAGAGGGAGATTTCGGCACGTCGCAATCACTTCATCGCAGCTTTTTAAACTCGCAGCCGCGGTCTCCGGGTTCGTCCGTGGGCAAAAGGCGTTTAACAGCCATATCCAATCTGCCCTGAAGAGTCCCAGTCAGAGCCATATTACCTATGGTAATATTCACCCACATTTGCGCTGGCTGTTCCGTCGTCGATTTGGACCTAGGTGTAGAAAACACCGGCTTTTTCAGAGGGCGTTTGGGAAAAGAAATCATAAAAACGAGATGCTAGTGCTGAATGGTCATCTTCGCCTTCTTGCGTTACTCCTGGAGAAGTTTTGCTGGCGTGTAGTTGACTGGCTTTCTCAGTGTCTGATGCTTGTGGCTCTGAATATATCTTGGAGTAAAAAAATACATATGGAGTCTCATTCCATCCATGAGAGCCATCTGCGATATCGTTGAATTGGATTTCTGTCACCTTTTCGTCATCAATCTTAGACCATTCTCCATTGGGCTGTTTCGCAAAGGTGATGTAGTGGCCTTCTTCAACAGCCAGACCCAAATGGAATATAACTGAAACGAGCTGATATCGAAGTCCTTCCCCGGTATTATCGCCGGTGTTATCATAATGACTTGTGAGATCTAGCTCTTCTTCGAACGTCAGGTTGGTAAAAACTTTCATAGATTTGTTATTTATTACCTTGAGTCGATCAACTTGTACAAAGAGAATTTCTGGTGCCCTCCTAATACGGGCTTTGTCGGCAGGAGATAGGGCGATGTGGCATGTTGTACAGACCCTATCCAACAAGGCCTCGTTTTCTAGGTATGTGGCGATTCCCTCTTCGATTCTTCTGGTTTGCGTCATTAATGGTGGTGGAATGGCATACAGTATGTTCGACGTCCGAGTCTCCGAGTCACATTTTGGTGCCGTACAGCCCAGGCATGTTCGAGTAAGTAACAGCAAGGTCCAAAACATCTGTTCGAAGTACTCTTTCTCTCTATAATGATCTCAGTCAGACTTTAACCGGACCGTTAAACTTCGCCATAAACTAACTTCTTATTTCCGTGTTCTTCTCGCTCGGCTGCTAAGCTGCCTATCAAGTCGGTTAAAAAATTCTACAACGTCTTCTTGTTGAGGAATGATATCTTCACTCTGCTGCTCTGGAAAACCCCATTGTAATTTCAACAAATACTTATTCCAAAGTGCGGTCATACGCGAATTTAGAGTATCCGCCTGTATAGTGTTCGACCAGTACAGCTTGGAATACATATCCCAACTGAAAGCTAGGCAATCCGGATTAGCTTCATTGCCAGAGATGCATCGGTGGGCCCGTAGCCAATTCACGAACACGGGGGAATGCAGCAGCGATATAAAGGCGCTATTGCGATAACAGAGGACATTATTTTCATTTGGCATTCCTCTCGATTGTAACGACATATACTCCCGTTTCCACTTGAAATAAATTATCAGCAGCTGTCTCAAAAATCAATCGGAGTAGACAGGGTAAATGAATGAAAATTCTTAAAATTTTACCTGCCTGCTATGTGATACTGCTTCTTTATTCCCCGAGACATCGGATTTTTCGGGGGCTTCTACACCCAAATCCACCGCCCCGTTATCCGTAGCTGCCTTCTCATTCCCTGATGTAACATGGCTTTTCCCTTTCCGACTCATGTTGTGCAACCTAGAAGAACGATTTTGAAGCAATATTTGTATTCCGTAAAATTGTAAATGTCCAACAGCGAATCGATGATAGATATCAAAGACAACAGAGACAACAGAAGACAGCCTCGGCCGATATATTTTGTCAAAGAAGAAGAAAAATTGCCCAACAACGATAGGAAAAGCTCTTTGAAATGTAACGCCCACAATTGCAATTGCTTTCTCTCTTTTATCTTTCATTCTTATAGCTCTTATAGAGCTATTTTAAAAAGTAGATGTTATAAAAGAAACATCATAGAAAGCCCTCATAACACCATCACCTATAATGAAAAAAGTATTTCGTGAACCAAAAGAAATGAATTGCTCCATCCTGTACTCCACATAACAAAAAGACGAATTCCTTTGTAAACATGAAGCTCGTAGCTGGAATAAATGAGCCTTTATTTGTCTCGTTTTAACCATTGTATTCTGAGAAGAAAAGAACAAAAAAAATCCCCTAACAAGCACAAGATGTGTTGATTGTGAGAATAGTCCAGTCTCCCAGCAATGAGCATATACGGAAACCGTAATGAATTGAGATATACCAAAGAGCGTTGTTAGAGATAGATCGATGATATGAATCGGTTTCGCAGGGCAGGATAATATCGAAGGGTTTCCAGGTCTGGCACATCTCTGCTTAGTCATCAGAACTATGATCACTGACTATCCCCTCCGATGCCGCAACCAGTTGACGTCTAAACCACTTGTCCTGCTGGAAACATGACTCACCGTCCCATGCCATAGCAAAGAGGGCTTTCTCTCGCTCGCGCGGTGGTCTACTAAGCGGCCGGCTTCCCCTTTGACTGGGATTTTGAACTTCAATTCCTAAACCTTCTCTCACCATGGTAGAACTGCCGGACCCCACCATTGACCTGGACTGGACCGGTTATGTCGGTTCAATCCAGTCGCATTTTGTCGAGAACGCAAAAAAATATCCAGATCGGGTATGCGTGGTGGAAACGAAGTCGTCCGAAGGTCCTGAGAGGAGATTCAACTACAGACAGATCTACGAGGCAGCTAATACTCTGGCTCACTACCTCCACGATGCAGGAGTCACCAATGGGGATGTCGTTATTATCTGGGCCCATCGCTCTGTTGACTTGGTTGTGAGCATCATGGGCACTCTGGTATGGCTTACTGTCTTTTGATAGCTTATGGTAATGGTAGTGTTTGGTTAGTTGATGCTAATATGCTCATAGATGTCTGCCGCAACGATGAGTATCCTCGATCCCGCCTACCCACCTGCAAGGCAGCAGATATATCTGGAGGTTTCCCAGCCTTGCGCCTTGATTAACATTGCAAGGGCGACGGATGAGGCTGGTCCTTTAGCCCCAATTGTGCGAAAGTATATTGATGAAGAGCTCAAACTGAAGGCTGAGGTCCCTTCCCTGCGTATCCATGACAATGGCTTTTTGTCCGGGGGCGAGATTGACGGCACAGATATCTTTGCCCAGGTCAGAGCGAAGGCTTCTTCACCTCCAGATACTCTTGTGGGTCCTGACAGTAACCCCACGCTCTCCTTCACTTCTGGTAGTGAAGGAAAACCGAAAGGTGTACTCGGGCGTCATTTCAGCTTGGCCAAGTACTTTGGCTGGATGGCCGAGAGATTTGAACTTACTTCAGAGAGCAGATTTACTCTCTTGTCCGGAATTGCGCATGATCCTGTTCAACGAGATATTTTCACTCCCCTATTTCTTGGTGCACAGTTATTGGTTCCCTCCAAGGAGGATATCCAACATGAGAGGCTTGCGGAATGGATGGCTGAACACAAGCCCACAGTTACTCACTTAACACCGGCTATGGGTCAGATTCTTGTTGGAGACGCATCCGCCAAATTTCCCTCCTTGGATAGGGCGTTCTTTGTTGGCGACGTTTTGACTACGAGAGACTGTAGGAAGCTTAGGGAACTTGCGGTTAACGTCAACATTGTTAACATGTATGGAACCACTGAAACACAGCGAGCAGTAAGCTACTATGAAATACCCAGTCGCGCAAAGGATCCCAATTTCTTGGACAAACTCAAGGATACTGTGCCAGCTGGGAAAGGAATGAAGGATGTACAGCTCTTAGCCGTCAATCGAGAAGATCGAACCAAGTTATGCAAAATTGGAGAAGTGGGAGAGATTTACGTCCGCGCTGCTGGCCTTGCTGAGGGTTACAAAGGAGATAAGGCGTTGAACGACCAAAAGTTTCTGATGAATTGGTTTGTGGACAACGAGAAATGGGTTGAAGCTGACAAGAAGAATGACAAAGGTGAGCCGTGGAGGAAGTACTATAAGGGACCTCGAGACAGACTTTATCGGACTGGTGACCTTGGGAGATACTTGGAGACAGGAGATGTGGAATGTACAGGTCGTGCAGATGACCAGGTCAAGATCCGAGGCTTCCGAATCGAGCTCAATGACATTGACAATAATTTGCGCCAACACCCTTTAATCAGAGACTGCAAGACTCTTGTCCGGAGAGATAAATATGAGGAGCAAACGCTCGCTAGTTACATTGTCCCGGAACTGAAGGAGTGGCCCCAATGGCTCAAAAGTCGAGACCTTGAGGATATTGAGGATGAAGGGACTGATATTGGCCCTGCAGTTATCTATTCCAAGCGCTTTAGACGAATGCAAACTGAAGTACGGGATCATTTGAAAGGACGTTTACCCAGCTACGCGGTACCGACAATATTCATTGTCCTTAACAAGTTACCTCTTAATCCGAATGGGAAAGTCGATAAGCAGGAACTCCCGTTACCTGATATTGCAGAACAGGCCGAGCCTGCTTCCTCTGAGGATTTGAAGAGATGGGAGTCGATGTCTGAAACGGAGCGAACTGTTGCTACCAAGTGGGCTGGACTTATTCGTGGACTTAACGCAAAGACCATTATCCCTCAGAACGACTTCTTCGATCTTGGAGGCCACAGCATCCTGGCCCAACAAATGTTGCTAACCATCCGCAAAGAGCTCGGGGTGAATGTTTCAATAAACGCTTTATACGAACACCCAAACTTAGGAGGATTTAGTGCCCAAGTTGATAAACAACTCAGCTTAAAGAATGGCGTCGTGGAAAACGGTGCCGCCACGGAAACAGATAAGCATTCCTCATATTCCAAGTCTCTAGACGAGCTTCTCAAGAAACTACCTGATACATACCAAACGGCTGATCCAGAAATCATTCGCAACTCACCACATCTCACTGTCTTCCTTACTGGTGCGACTGGCTTCTTGGGCTCCTACATTATCAAGGACATTATGGAGAGAACCAGTCCTGCTATCAATCTCATTGTCCACATGAGAGGTGTAAAGGACTTAAAAGCTGCACTCTATCGACTTCGACGGTCCCTACAGGGCTACGGCCTATGGCAAGACGAGTGGGCAAGTCGACTGAGCTTCGTCGTCGGCGACTTGTCAAAACCGCAACTCGGTATTCACCAGCAAACTTGGCAGAAGCTAGCCCAGGAAGTCGATTTAGTGATCCACAATGGCGCTTTAGTCCATTGGGTTCGGAGATACAACGACATGATGGCCGCAAACGTCCTTTCCACACTCGACGCCATGAGGCTTTGCAACGAAGGAAAACCAAAGATTTTCACCTTTGTGAGTTCCACCAGTGTCCTTGACACTGACCACTACGTCAAACTCTCAGATCAGCAGCTGAGCACTGGCCGAGGTTCCATATCAGAAGATGATGATCTGGAGGGCAGCCGAACCGGTCTTGGAACCGGCTACGGACAGACAAAGTGGGTGTCTGAGCAACTCGTCCGTGCAGCCGGTAAAAGGGGCCTGCTCGGTTCTGTGATTCGACCCGGATACATCTTAGGTGATACAGAGTCTGGAGTCTGTAATACTGATGACTTCTTGATTCGTATGCTGAAAGGCTGTATTCAATTATCAAGCCGACCACACATCATCAACGCTGTAAACTCTGTTCCAGTGAAACATGTCGCCCGAGTGGTTGTGGCTGCGGGCCTCAACCCTCTCCCAGACGGCGTACACGTCGTCCATGTTACTGGCCACCCTCGCCTACGTATGAACGAATACCTCTCCTTCCTCGAATTTTATGGCTATAAAGTTTCCGAAGTCGACTATGACATTTGGAAGGATGAGCTCGAGAAATATGTGTCAGCTGGTGGGTCAGAAAAGGATCAGGAACAACACGCCCTGATGCCACTTTACCACTTCTGTGTTAACGATCTACCAGCTACAACTCGAGCTCCCGAACTTGATGACAGAAATGCCGTCAAGATCCTGAAGGCTGATGCAGAGAACTGGACTGGGGTTGATGAAAGTACCGGTTATGGCATCACAAAGGAGGACGTGGGCAGATACCTAAGCTACCTGGCAGAAATCGGGTTCGTGAGTCGCCCATCAGTCAAAGGACGGCCACTACCTAAGGTCAATATCAGTGCAGCGCAGTTGGAAGCTGTGGGAGCTGTGGGTGGTCGTGGTAGTGTGCCAAAGTAAATATATGTGTCTTTTGCGTCTCCTATAGAGGGTGGTATGTCCTCTTTTCTATGATGTAGCGAATTCCCTCGACACACATCAAATAATTTTTGGGTTATAAAAAAATAGAAATGTTTTTGGTTGGGCTGGTTAAACACATGCCGTTTATTTTTCCTTTTCCCATTTTCTTATGAGAAGGAAGGGGTTCATTTTCATTACATCAATTCGTAGTGCTACTTCGCTCGTATCTAATCTGTACCTCAATTCAACAAGTAACTATGATCATCCTGCCATAAAAAAATAAACCCGTCCACCCGGACATCTTACCCTAAGTAACAATTCTCAAATCTCCTCCATATCCTCATCATCCAACTCAAGATCCAACGGCGGGAAATTACCCACCTCAACTTTCTCCGGCTTCACGAACACGCCTCGCTTTTCCAGACAGGTAAAATACCTCCTGCCACCAATAGATCCATCATTCTTGCCAGTGGGTTCATCAAGTTCGATGCCGATCCAAAGTGGTCCAGTGGAGGCAGTGATTCTTTTATCATCATCTTCTTCTTCTCCTTCTTCTTCTTCGTCTCCTCCTGCGGATAATGATAGCGATTTCACAAGCGGTGATGGAATGGTGGGGACCGGGCCGATGAAGCGAATTGTCCCGCGCCGGATATGGGGAGGGGCGGAGGGGTGGATTATTGCGCGCTTGGAGAGTTCGATACCTGGAACGGATGTCAAGAGTTTATACATATAGGCATTCGTATATATATAAAAACAAGGTTCCCTTTCGCATCTCTTACTTACCTCTCTGTTGAATCTCTTTCTGGTCTTTCTCCACTTGCTGCTTAAGGATTTCTTCAGGGGAGAGGGCGTTAGGGTCGAAGCGTCCGAGCTTCTGGGATTTCTTCCACGATAGGACGCTGTTGGGACGGGATTCGTAGGTTGAGGTTGGGAGGACATATTTTTCTACTGAGGAGAGGTCGCTGAAATCCGGGCGTGCTGCTTGGGGTCGAGTGTCATGGATCTAGTTGTGGGATCAACTTGAGCAAACAGGATATAGGCAAAAGATGGAGAATAATCGTAGCTTTCAGTGAATAAAGGCAGGTACGACAACGGAAGAAAAGAAAGGAAAGGAAAGGAAAAACATTGGTTGCACTGATGATTCGGTTAGAAGTTGAAGCGGGTTTTTCGTCATCCAATTGCAACAGGATGAGCTGTCCTAAGGAGAGTGAGATGAAACTTTCTGCTAATCTGTCCTGACTGGCGATATGCTTGTGCAGGACGTAATTGGGCCAGACGGCAACAGAGATGCTGTGGGGATTCATGTGATCACGATCATCTTTAACACACTCCCCGGAGAGCAATCTAGTAGTGGCTTGTTGGATAGTTACCCATGATGGTGAGGATGGTTGGGAGATTCCAGTCATGTTAAAAGGGGCAGCTAGCTCGCCAGCTGATGGGTTGTACCCACGGTTGTCCCTCCCCCTTATATATGACAATAACACGAATTGAAATTATAAACACGGGAGTAAGAAGAAACCAAGAGAATAGATAAACGTCCAAAGAGGCCTCAAAGCCCTTCTTGTGCCGTACATACCTCGAACTCACATCCCCTGCCAAGGGCCCAATCACCAACAATCCGATCATCACCGTCAACCCATTGGTCGTCTTTACCGGGGGCCTTCAGTTTGAGTCTCTGACTGGATGGGGGAATTCCAGTCATAGTTTCTAGTTTCGACTTCAGCTGCAAAACTGTCCATGTTGGCGTTACGCGCCGTTCTGAGGCGAACGATGTCCCAACCTGTGATGGACCACCGCTGGTTGGAGCAACGGATATGATGACGGGGATGTCCACGGGAGCGGGCTGAAACCCCATGTTCAGAACTTTTCAGAAACAAGAGTTTCTAGTAAAAACCTCTTCTAGAGTCTATGGAAACTGGAGATTGATTTCTCGGATAGGTTCTTTTGAATTAAGAATCCGCTGATATCTTGTTACTAGAGTTTTGATGTCAGTTCTGTTTCGCGGAGGTGATAACTATTTTCTTCTGAGGGGAAAATTACAAGATAGAGAAATCAAGTCCTCATACTCACGGTGAATTGGTTTCAAGTGAAAAATTGAATAACTTGGTGCAAAATACTAATTATTCGATGGGCGACCACAGACCAGCCAAGATAGGCTAGTAACTATAACCCTTGGTTGACAACTTAGTTACTTACGGATTTGATGCAGTTACGGCAGCCTATAGTGACATTTGGGTCAAATGGGTTTTGCGTTCGCATTTAGGTTCTCCGTATGGCTGAGGGTTAAGGGAAAAAAGGGACTCCGGTTTTTTCAGTTGCAATGTCTCTGAAACCGACGGCAGATGGAGAAGTCGATAAGATTGCAATCAGGATATTATCACCTTCAACTTTCGAGTTTATTATTTAACTAAATACTTTCAGGTGGTTAACTATAGTTAGAGGTCAGGGTCAACAGGCATAACCTACCATTCGAATACACAGTTACACACACAAATAACATCAGATGTGATCATCCTCCATATATTTGGCCCCGATTATCATCTATAAAATATATGCCCGAATTGCCATCAACGGATGCTATGTACAACATTCCGGGATATCGAAACAACTCCCCAACACGTGACAGATCTGGCGTTTAAAGGGCCTGAGCGCGATCTAAACGCCACAGCCGATACTTTCACTTCTGCCCAATCTCATCATCCCGTGATCTCCGCTCTGCCAATCCGGTTAAGAAATCCACCGGTTCTCGGCCCAAGTCCTGTATATCTCAAGGGTTAGCAGGAATGGAGTCTCCATCTCTCAATGTCCAATTCTTGGTCAGTTGCTTAATTCATTGCTAGGAGCCATGGAAAGCAGTGATGCGGAGAGGTACGAAGAACTGTATGTTCACAATGTCTACCAAGAAATCGCAGACCACTTCTCCTCCACAAGATATAAGGTTGGCTGATCTTTTCCTTTTGCACCTGGTTCCCTGCAACCTCTGTCTCACTGCCGGATTTTATGTATTTGAGTGTGGCCCAAGCTCACTGAAAGCACCATGGTCGTCCCCTCAGCCTTGGCCAATTGTCGAACGTTTTTTAAAAGAACAACCTCCCGGCTCGATCGGACTCGACATTGGCTGCGGCAATGGCAAATACCTACCAGTAAACTCCAACGTTTTCATTGTGGCGTCAGATAGGTAAGTCAGAATTGCGGGTGTTCCCGATGATCGTGCCTCCGGCCCATGGGGATCTATCCATATATATATACGCGTCTAAACATGCAAGGGTCAGATCCGAAGCCTTGGCGCGAATTTCCAGCAGGCATTATCCGCACTCTGTGATTGTCGCTGACAATCTGAATTTGCCGCATCCGGATGGTTTCTTCGACTTCGCCATCTCCATTGCGGTGGTTCATCACCTATCAACTCCTGAACGCAGGGTTAAAGCTGTCCAGTCTATCCTACAGACACTCAGACCATCTCGCAATGGGCAAGAAGGTGGCAAAGCGTTAATATATGTCTGGGCGCTAGAACAGAAAACCAGTAGAAGGGGGTGGGATGCTGGAGATGACCAGGACGTCATGGTCCCATGGGTGCGACAGAAGAAAAGCGTGGATGCTCAATCTGAGGAGTCAACCAAGACTTTCCACCGCTACTATCATTTATATCAATCGCAGGAGCTGGAGAGGGACATTGTCGCAGCCGGTGGCGATGTGTTGGATCACGGCTATGAAAAGGACAACTGGTGGGCAATCGCAAGCTTAAAACCGCTGGATTGAATTGGGACACTATAAAATGCTACCACTATCTCAAGCATCCGGTCTTGAATACAACCCAAAAGAAATATATAAAGGAATGAGGAGGAAGCAATCGGGAGCAAGAGAGCAAGAAGGGGATCTTGGGAATAATGGCAATAATGGGAATGGAAGCAGGGGAAACAAAAAAGACAAGGAAAAGAAAGGGACAATTACAAAAGATCGTGCCTATAAGTCTATCTGTCCCCCAACCATGCTATGCATTCATATTCCGAGACAAGCTATTATATTTCACGGCCACGAAAGAAATCTTTTATTTATCTCCTAGACCGGGTTCCTCCTCCTAAGCGAGTTCCTACATAGCCTCGACTCTGTTCTGCAGGCGACTTCGGGGACTTCCTCAAAGAATAATGCTCACGCGACTGACTAGACGCGTATGCAGCAGCTCCAGCAGACAGTTCGGCAACAGAAGGAAGTTGCTGACCTTGCACCCCCCGTGTCCCTGCGTCTCGCCTCGATCTCGGCGTTGTTGCTCTGAGTCTGCGCCGCTTCTGAGGTGGCTCTGATGTTGTACTTGAAAGCGAAAAGGGTATCACTCCAGCACGTCTAGCCATCTCTTGTTTCCCTAGCTGCCAATGCATAGCTTCAACCGCTCTCCATGGGAGGCCTAAAAGTTCTGCTATTTTGTCCCACATTTCCTTTTTGAGTCTGGGATTTTCTATCGGTCAATAAACACGCTCGTTTTCGCTTGGGAGGAAGCATCTTTAGCTGCAAGCTTACCTTTCGTACTGCCTAGCCAGCTTGTTCTTACGATCCTCATCCCACTCACTCCGCCGTTCAAGGTAATTTTGGTAATGAAGGCGACAACTAGTTGCACTTCGGCCAGGTATCCTGTTGCTGATGTCGCCCCATTTCATGCTACTACCTCGCAGTTCTGTGATCAGAGCATCTTCATCAGCTGACCACTTCGATTGCCTTTTGGCTGGAACTACTAGTGGCGGGGCTGGCTGTAGTCGTTTTGCTGGTACTGTGGATACAGTGACTGGGGAAATAGGTAGTGGCGTTACGATTGCCTCTGGGAGTATTGTTGAGCGGGGAGACCTTGAAGTTGTTCCTGCTGGGGCTGGCACAACTACAGGCTCTGTCACCGGGCTGACTGTTGTATCTGTATCTTTTGCCTCCTCATCTTGAGACAGCAGGAGCGATGAGATATCCACCTTTGCTGTGGGTTCCGTTGAAGGATATACAGCACCACCATATAGCACACCAGGTGTCTGGGGGAAAGGCTACGGGGTCGACCGTGGCTCGTAGGAAATAAGGGGAACTTGCCAGTCGACCTAGCTAGGGCGCCTATCTGTCTATAGGAAGGAGGGCAGGGTAGGATACAAGCAAAAAGGTGTTTGGAAACCTGCGAAACAGTTCTCTGAAAGAAGAAGAGCAATGTGGCAGAGAATAATGTTCCTACGATGAAGATATATATACGCGAGCAAAAGAAGGATTGAATGAACCGAAGTTTGAGTTGGGGGTGCTGCAGCCGATCACCCACGCCACCGCCCTCACCCCATCTGGATGTGATGGGAATAGGGCGGGAAATCAGGCAAGAGGAACGGTCAGAGGAACGGTCAGAGGAAACAGGGTAGGGATCAGGGAAGGGAAGGGAAGCTTTGTCTCCCTCGTGTGGTACAGAACCAATCTGATCTCGAAAGGAGGGAATACTTCTGACCGGAAAAGAAAAAGTGTGAGAGGAGTCGGTCTAACTAGTGCTGCCTTATTTTCCGCTTCAAGCTTTCTCGACCAATAGTCGGGATACTCAGGATGTCGCAAAATCAACTGGTTACCATCATCTTCCTTCGCTCCACCAACGAACTTCCAATCGTCAGGTCTCGTCCTTTGCTCCTTGCCCTATGGCTGTTTCACTGGTGACAGGGGGATAATGATGGCAAAATAGCTGCAGGTAACGATGGTAGAGGGGAGAGAACATGTTCTTTATGATATAGCTAGTGTGTGTGAAGTATGGAAGGAGGAGACACAGAGAAACCGGATGATGAAGATAGGTTAATTCAGCAGCTAACTATCAGGCACGTTGAAAACTGGCAGCTTAGCCTTCCGCAGCAACTAAAAACACACATCGACATATATTAGTATTAGTCTTGTCTTCATTTATTGGAGCATGCCGTCGACAGGTTAACCTTGCTTTTTTTTTTTTTTTTTTCTTTAACTCCCTTGGTTTTGCCCTTCCTGCTTCATGTTTCGTCCCTGGCCCAAGTTCCTTGCACTTCATGCAGACCGAATCCAAGCCCGAGTCTTTTCGCCTCCGTACTGTTTACATTTTACGACCATACACGATGGGCAGTTGTGCAGAATAATAAAGCAGAGCAAAAAAGATTAGGGATAATGCAAAAACCCAATTTTTTTTTTTTTTTTTTTTTTTTTTTTTTTTTTTTTTTAATTGTGGAGCTGCATATAACTCCGTGGTGACAACGTTCATTCAACGGATGGGAAGTCTATGCGTGGACTCGCCGCACCTCCGTATTTATTTTTAATTGGTTTTACCACATATATTTTTCTGTACTTTTATATTTCCAACTACGTTTCTCTTCAATCGCGACAGTAAAATATTAAATTCAAGATAGGGAATCTAGCCGGGCTCTAGTGAGTATGTCGGGGAAAATGCATTCATTTATTATGAAAATGGACACCCTCTGACTGTCCAAGCGGAATTTACCAATGGTACATAAATACAATTCTCTGTCTCAAAATAGGTCGGGGAGGCGAAGAGGAAGAATGTATGTACAATACCGTATACTGGTCTGGCTGCTACTTTTCAAGAATAGAGCTGGGAGGAGGAGGAGGATATGTTGTCAACGTTGGAGAACCATAAGATTTGGATACTATTAAATAGTCAACTAGTTACGAAAAAGAAAAGAAAAAGAAAAAGGAGAGAGAGAAGAAAGAAAGATCTCGGGCCATGAGCCATTTGGTATTTTCCTATTAACAAGTTGTAAGAAACCTCCCTCCTTGAAAAAAATGCTCAACAAAGACCGACCAGCTCCGTCAACTAACCTTTCGGCTAATCATGTTTGATATTAGTTGCTATCTGTATTCCTACCTGACCTGATTCACTGACACATCAGCAGCCACGAAGCCTACGACGATGATGGTATGCAATGCATCGGCCCAGCCACCTGACAGATTTTCTTTGCCTTCCCCTGACACAACACACACACACACAACACACACACACACTCTCTCTCTATATCTCGCCTGTCTCGTGGAAGCATTCCATGCCCGCTCTGTATTGCTATTGGCAGTAGCACTGCTCTGAGAAATATCGGTCTGGGATTGTATCCCCCCACCTCCCTGTGCAGGTAGTTATGCAAGTTGGCGAGGTATTTGATCTTAAGTTCTCCCAGGGCTCCTTCATTTTAGCAAACTGCATTCCTGTATTTCGAAACTTCATGATCTTAACCTCAAGTTCAGCCTGGCCCCGCTATTATCCTGCGAGTACGGAGTATGTATTAATAGATTCGTGAACTTTTACCGCAAGACTCCCAGCCCAATGCTGCCTAAAACGGAGTTCAAAAGAACGGTTGAATTACTTCACCATTCTTGCAGGACCAGAGCCATGCCCATGCCCATGTCCATATCCGTACAAATATGTATTGGAGATACACCAATAATTTTGAGCGGTCATTATCCATTCAAGGCCTCCCGGCCACCCTTGATCCGCATCTATCCATACATCACCTCCATGGCGTCCACGGTCATACAAAAAATGCCAAATGATAAATATCAAATAAGCTATCTGAACATGAAGCATAAAGCAAAATGGCCAAGTTACAAGCTGGTTGTCAGAGACAGGAACTGAAAATCTGAGCCTTGGAAGCCCTCCTCAATATCATACAAACAGGGACGGACCCCAGTTCATGCTGTCGCTGTTGGCCTGCACAGCATCATCTCATCTTCTTGAAGTTTGTGGATATCCTACATGCGGGGTAAAGGACTGTATAGTTGCTTTCTATTTGTAATATTAATACTATTCACGTTCAGTCCTTGGCAATTCTTAAATTTCAGAGTTAACGAGAAGTTAACTAGTTACAAGCATCTCCTTGGACATAAAACTAACTGCTGGTTTCAGGCGTCTGAGAACAATCGCGTCTTTGGCCCTTATTTTCAAGGTTTTGTTAATTACCCGTGCCGAAGCCAGGCTTGCTGGACTTAAGAACTCCTTTTTGTTCGGTCTCAAAATCACATGGATATATATATATATATATTTTGGTAAATATTAATTATTTATATGTATATACCCACTATGGTTACGCAGGGATATGTCTTCATTTTCTTTTTCATCTTTACAAGATCGACCAAAGGGCTAAGAAGAAAGAGACTAGTTATTCCAAAGACACCGTATTTCGTAGTTATACATATGGCATGCGCTGCGGGGGCCCTCGATCGATCTACATGGAGGAGCGCGGGTATAGAAATTTGTCAATTATCCGCTGGGTTGTTTTGAATAAGAACCCTTTCGCCCAATCACCAATTAAGAACCGTAACTTAAGCCGTTTCGAGCCATTAATTCTTCCTACTTGTGCATTCTCCTGCTTTGTGGCGTCCTTTTCTTTCTTGCAAAAAACACCACCGTATCCTGGAAAAATACCATGTTGCGGTGAAGAAACTTTGGAAAAGGCGAACTGGTGATCCTGTCGGTAGATGTTTAAAGGAAAATATCAGGATCAAAGAAAAGAAAGGAAAGCAAAGGGAAAGGAAAAGGGAATGAAGAATAAGTCCAAGAGGGCGGGAAACAATTTGCTGAAATTCTGTGTGTTCGTGGGATATCAGCTCTGTCGTCATGTCCTATTTTCAGTCGAGTAGCAGTAATAATAATATACATATTTTTTTTGAGTTGAATAACCAAGATTGCGAAAAAAATAAAAGGAGGGATGTGTGAAGAAGTCCTTCAGTAGAGCCTAATTCTTACACACAGGGTCTCTATCAAAGTCCTATTTCCTTTTCCCAACTCAATTCATTTCCGTGCCCTTCTTCGTTGACTCTACTTTCCGGTGTTCCCGCCGTAGCACCAGATATCTAACAGCAATCCATGTAGGTGATTTGTGGGGTCATATATTACTCCTAGACTTTCCATACCCATTGTACGCGACAGGCATCCGACGATTTTCCAATGTTTTTTAGCATATTGCGGTGTACAGTTCATTGCTGATTCTGTCAGAGCGCAGCGAGAACTGGCCCCCAAATAAGCAATTGACTGTGAATAAAAGCCTTTTTCTTTCAGTTTAACCGATCAATGTGGTTTGTAAATTATGTATAATCTCCATGCGGTGAGCAAAAAAGCAGACTCCCTTTGAATGTTACCTCCCTGCCACGATAGACTTACCAAGGGAAGCCCCGTAGAACATTGATCGTGTGTAGCATTACACAATGCAAGGTACCGTGCGACTGGAAGACTCACAAGCATCCCCAGGCGACATAATTCGAGAAAAGGAGGATGAAACAGCAAACAAAACAGTGGTAACTAAAAGCGGATATCGCAAGTTCGATAACCAATCACACGTGAACGAGAAACATTAGTTAGTTAACTAATTAATCACGAAAAGGTTCCGAGATTGACATCATGAGTCAGCATGCAATCAATCTTGAGATCAGATAGTTATTAGTTGTAGCCAAGAGAGTTGGAGCCAAAAGTCAAAAAGCAGCTCTCGAGCAATCAGTTCCTGTTTTCAGAAGCTTAAATATGGGATGTTTTGAAAGCCTAGCGAACAGATAAATTCTCGTGTCCAGACACGGACACAACAAGGGACTGTTTGAAGGTAAGTTTCATGAAGAGAGACCCACGTCGACAGAATCTATAGACACGATGACGTATCTGCATCCCACTAGAGAGGTACCATTCAGCGCAAGG